CAAACAAAAAATCGATTTAATTATATAAATAAAATGTAATAAAATGTATATAAAATGAATAAATGAGATTCGTATCTGTGTTGTTGATCTGTAATATTATAGTGTTACGTTGATTTGTTTGTCCTTCTCGGTCCATGCACGACGCATTTCAGTGGTTTTGTGTTAGAAAAGAAATGCAACCAATCAGATACCCAGAGTGTGTGTCTCTATCTCTACAGAAGGTCCAGTTGTGATAGGCACGGTTCGCCACTTATCAGATACATTCTGACGCGGCTCGTTGTCAGCCGGTAACCAGCTGTCCAGACACTTTGTAGGCTATTATGGAGAAAAGATGAACGGGGCGGTGGGTGCCGTTGGAAACATCAGTTTTTTTACTGCTCTTCACAGTTAACAGTAAACAGACACTGTTCATAAAACTAAACTAGACACTGTTCTTTTGCTAACTACTTTCTCTATCCTTTTCCAATAGTATGAAGCTGCAGCGTCGGAGACTGCAGTTTCAGGACCAGTCCTGGGACCGCACTCATAGGACCCTAGTTGTTTTGCAACATCGCCACCTAGCGAATTGGATGCCCGCAAAAGTACAACCAGCGTGTATTGAGTCTCATACACAGCGAGTCTCTTTAGACATTGTAATGCTTGTTATTAACGATCTAAAAATGCATGAAAATATGTTTTTCTTACAGAAATGTAATTATTATTATTAACGACAATTTGTTATTATGTTTTTGTTTTTTAATAACAAATGTATTTTGTATGTCAGATGTAAAAAGATAGTCTTTTATAATTGTCTTATCAAATGTGACATACAACGTAAATTAATATATATATATATATATATATATATATCTAAATGTATGTCTACATGTACAATTATAAATAGATGATATCATTATTACTACAATATATATATATATATATTAGGGCTGTCAGTCGATTAAAATATTTAATCGACTGACCGATTTAATCGCGATTAATCGCAAATTAATCGCACATTTTTTATCTGTTCTAAATGTACCTTAGAGGGATATCTTTCAAGTTTTTAATACTCTTATCAACATATGAGTGGACAAATATGCTTTATATGTTTATTATCATTTGAACAATGACAAATATTCTCATGAATATTAAACACAACAACCTGAACATTACAAATATTCGCCTCAATTCAACCTGGAACCTCTCTCATACAATAATACTGTGTGTGTGTGTGTGTGTGTGTGTGTGTGTGTGTGTGTGTGTGTGTGTGTGTGTGTGTGTGTGTGTGTGTGTGTGTGTGTGTGTGTGTGTGTGTGTGTGTGTGTGTGTGTGTGTGTGTGTGTGTGTGTGTGTGTGTGTGTGTGTGTGTGTGTGTGTGTGGAGACACTGTGATGGATCGTTGAGCTATGTGCAGCTCAAGGCATATATGCTCGAATGGGAGCTGCCTGGACGCTGCAATAATGTTGCGCTGACTTTTCGTACAATGTCCCACTGTCTGGCTACCTGCATAAAGTCAAGTGCTCGGCGCAGTTGTCGGCGAAATGTCATTGAAACAGCTCCTTATATCCGTTAGCGCAGCTAGCTAGCACCAGATGCTAACAACAACACGTAGGTGTGCCTCGCTCGCGCGAGTCGCGCCACACATACACACTCCCTCCCGGTCCTCCCGATGGCCAGTCCGGGCCTGCCAGTGAGCGTGGAAGTGTGGTCTGCCACAAGCGGGCGGCAGGAGCGGGGCTGTCAGCATCAGCTTGTCGATGGTATTTTACACTCGATGCGCTCTGAAACTACGGCGGCCGAGGACAAAAAATACACATGCGTTAATCGCGTTAAAATAATTAGTGGCGTTAATTTTTTTTTGCGTTAACGCGTTATTAACGCGTTAACTTGACAGCCCTAATATATATATATATATATATTGTAGTAATAATGATATCATCTATTTATAATTGTACATGTAGACATACATTTAGATGTATATTTTGTTAAAAGAAAACAAAAATATTAATTTAGTTTTTGGGAGAAGGGGTGGGGTTAAATACGTGTACACTCCTTCCCACGCCTTTTTGGATGTGTAATTAGGTAGATCATTTGTTTATATATAATTTGTAAGGCAATAATATTTAGTTTATCAATTTGATACTGCTTACGTTTCTACAGTATCATAATTCTCATGTTTCATTTCATTATTGTATTACACGTTTGAAATAATCAAATCAAATGTGTCTTTGAAGAGGTGCTTGATTACTCAAAAACAAAAGCAACTGTTAGTGTGTTTATGCACCTGGCTGCCAAAGATAAACATGCAGTTTGACCGAGAGGCATTTCAGTGCAGAATCAATTTTTATTTATTTAGAACAGGGGTGGGGAACCTTTTTCCTCTCAAGGGCCATTTCAATTTTTTCAACATCCTCCGAGGGCCGTACCAATTATTGACCTCTGCTTAAAAATACTAAAATCACAGCCCATTCATTTGGCCTTTCTTTCATGCTGTGCAAAGAAAAAGCAACCTCTTAATCCAGATATCTTACCATGACTCGGTTGATATCTTACCAACGTGCACGGTTGTGGCATGACCACCAAAACAGAAAGATATGGACACAAGATGTGTGCAAATGTATTTAGTTTCCTATCCATGTGGATATGATCTAAGTGGGAGGGGGACCGAACCTCCTCCGGGGTCCCCCGGGAAGATCTTTTTTTAAATGTTGAAGTTAAAAGCATCAATCTGGTGCACTTAGAGAGCAAAATTAAGAGATCTATGGATACATCTCTCAACACCCATATGAAGCAGATTTATTTTTCTTTATGGATATTTTCCAAATCACCTTTTAAACTGTATTCTTGTTTATTAATAACAACTTTCTTTTACTGTCATATAGTATTTTATACCTGTTTACTTTATTCTCTTATTTTTCTCAACTATAATGATCATATAAAGATGTGCCTTTACCTCACTGGTTGTAGAAAAAGCTTCTTATATTCGTTAGCATAGCTAGCTAACCAGATACTAATAACAACAACGTTATTGACTGTATGATCAGTATGACAGATGAACAGATCGCCACTGGGCTTTCAACTAAAGACACAGCCACGCAAAAACTGCGGCATGTGTACGTTTTATTTTATGTATGTTTTTGGAAGTGTCGGAGCCGTGTTCTGGTGCTCTCCGTCAGAACTGCACCCCTGTCAGACGAGACATATACCACGTGATGACACGTTAGGCTCGTGTTGTGTTCAAGGACCCTGGTTCCCCACCCCTGATTTAGAAGACGGGCACAATTTCCTGAATACGGACACGGAATGACCTCTGGAGTCCAGCATATCTTTGAGTTCCTCTGACCCTTCATCTGAAAGTGGAGAGGACACTGAGGATTCTTCACTGGGGTGAGGCGGGGTCTGTTGTTCCCTCAGCCACCAGAAAACAGCTCCAGCTGCAGTACCCCGGGAAGCCCTCTTCGGAGTAAACACCCTCCAAGATTCCTCGCCGTCCACTTCCCCGGTAGCCTGTGCCAACGTCCTTATAAAGATGGTCGCATTGAAAGCACCCGGTTTCATTAAACAAATAAACAAAAAGGCTAACAGTTGGTTTTGCAGCGAGTCATCATCATAGGCTAACAGATGACTGTTTCCCTGTAAGACTCACATTTAACACGTGTTGCTTGTTTTGCTGTCCAATTCAATACACCAGAATAGTTGTTAACTTTAAACAAACAACACGATTCACATTACTCACACTCTTAGTGTAATTAGTGATTACATCAACAATTAATGTAGGACACAATCAGGTGCCAGACTGCATCTCCCACTTTGTGTTGGGTTTGACAAATGTTTTTGTCGTCCTGTTTCTTAGCTCGCTCAACACATTTTCCAAGAGCTTCTGGTGCCAGCTGTTGAGACAGCTCCAGGCGTTCTCTCAGTGGCATGACATTGAGGAGGAGTGTTGATATTGTCATTATCAGGTGGCACTTCTTCTGTCCCCTAACCTGAAAACCCTGTTCCACTCAAAGACCTTACTTGTGGAAGCAACCTTCGTCAGTCCTTATTGACTTCTGGATCAAGCTTGAAAAGGACCTTTTTGCCAATATAGATATCGAAGCAACTTTAGCGTACAGTTGCTTACTTAATCACTACTAGTTGGAAACTGGAGGAAAGTAACACTAGAATGAAGTGAGTCCTGTGTCACAATTGTCCTCACTAGGTGGGGTTCATGCAGAGTACAATACAACAGTATTTTGTCTGAAGGACAGCCTAGGCATAAACATCTGGGTTTACCAGGTGCATTTGGTAACAAAGCACAACATGTTGACTACCACCACTAGAGAAAATAATAATTCTTCATAGAAATTCGGAGTAATTAAGCCCCCCTGGCCTCACCTTTAACTGAGTGCCAGCTGACATGCAGCGAATGGAGGGGCCACATCACAGACACTCTGCATTAGCTTTAATATTCCCCTGGAAAGATCTGGTTTTCTGTGGTTTGCCTTAACTTTAAGATTCTTTTTGAAGGGAGTGTAAATGGTGCTGAGTCAGTTGTATTTATGTTTGTCCTTTCAGCATGGCAGTGCAATGAACTTAATACAAAATAAATAAAGAATGTCATCTACCTTATTTCTGTGAACTGTTTATGAATTTGAATGGTTCTGGGAGAGCTTTGACCTCCGGCAAGGCGTATTGCACAATCACATACTCCCTGGATTGAAAACATACCAGCCTAGATGGTGGAAATTATTATATTGGTTTTATAAATCTATGTTTGCACAAATGAAAATACCTGTAACCTTCTTATGGACTTTTTATTTTATTTTACTACATCATAAAATGTATTTTTAAAACTTACATGTAATGTATTTGTATCTGCACAAATAAATCAAACAAAAATCAATCATCGCAGGATGTAGACTTTTGGTTTTGTACTCTGTTTAGTCAGGCAGTAATATGACAGCAGATAGGACCCTGTCAGTGGCATCCAATATTTACCTACACACAGTTGACCCTCAGGGTCCTGTGTATCTGGTTATCTTCCAACGTTCATTTTGGCCTTTCAGTAGTCACTTATAAACCCAACAAACGTTAGAATGGTCATATATTGTACTTACGGGTTGCTGTTTGCATACTTTTTATTGCCTGGAATCTTACTTGGGGATTTAGCTTTCCGATGTCCGAGTTGTACTGCGGAGCAACTAGCTTCATGTCCCGAAGTCACAGCTGCATGCACAGAGATAGTGAGGGAGCCGGGCTGTGGCTGCTGTCCAGTGTGTGCCAAGCTGGAGGGGGACCTCTGCGGGGTCTATACCACAAGATGCTCCACTGGGCTGAGGTGCTATCCCAGCGCAGACTCTGAAACACCTTTGGAACACCTCATTGACGGTTTAGGACAATGTGGACGAAAAGTAGACATGGATGAAACAAGTCTGTACCACCAGGCTAAAAATGGTACGTATTTATTTTGTTTTAAGTTGTAAAAACTGCAGTACTCAATGTAAAAATTATTAACAATGGATTAAATAATTTAGCACAAACTTCTATTTTGACTGTCCAGCTCCAGTCTACAGCATTTTAGCCTGTTTCAGTTCATTTACAGTAGTTTACACAGCCTCCCTAACTGTTTTGGTTAAGTCTCAGATCCAACCACTGAATGCTATCATCAAAGCTAACGAGTAAAACGTTCTCATAGTTCTTGAAAGTAGTTATTGTGTTTGCAACGTAATAACTCATTGTTCTAAGAACACTTTTAAGCTTTCAATTCAGAATACTCTTCCAGAAAGTAATTGATTTAAGTATACAGTGATTTGTCTGACAAATATGCCAAAGCAGCAACCAGTTACTTTTATTTCTTTTTTAAATGTGTTAACCTGTGAGGAGAAACAACACAAACAACAGCTAGTAATAAACACAAATCATAGCCAAATCACTGAAATTGGAAAAAAGTACTTCCATAATAGATTTTCTTTTTTTGTAACATTGGGAAATGGAACTGAGTTGTTTATTTATTATCATAATATTGAAAAGCTCTACGCTGTTTTGAATCACTCCCAAGTTATCTAGAGTGGTACAGAAATGAGTTAGGATTTTAGGACTTCTGGTTCCGTTATCCTAAAGTAGATGGGTGTTTGAATTGGTTTTATGGTTAGTAGCCTAAAAAACTTCTACAACAAAATATGTCAGTAAATACCCTCATGAATTGATTAACTTTATTTGTCTTAAAAACGATGATTGCTAACAATTGGCTAAATGAAAACACTTATTGTCGTCATGCCAACATGAGTCCGCCTAGTTACGTTGTTGAAGTAAAGTCATGCAACCAGGATGTAGTTTGTATACTTCCGTTTGTACCTCTGTTAATTGCATTATGCTGAAAAAAGTGGTTGGGTTTATCCTGCTGAAAAAAGTGTGTAAGTATTTTATGTTTGTTTGCCAGAGCTTATTTTCTGCAATACTCCAAAGTCCAATGGATAAACCATTTGCTTTTTGACAAGGAACCAGTTGATCAACTACCTTGTTGACCTACAAAAATACTTAATCTTTGAACCACTCTTTTGGTGGTGCGAATACAAAAACAAAAAAGCCCTTCTGTCGTTTCTCAGAAGGGAAACAAGTTTGCAATTCCTCTAGAAGAGTTTTGTCAATACCGAATGATCATAGCATACTTTAAGATGCTGTATTTTCAGCTTGTTGTACTGTTTTAGGTAGGGTAAGTAAATCAATTAATGCGGCTTAAGGTCTGTTAGTTGGTTGTAAAAAAAAAGTTGGGTGCAGTAATCCAGAGTTCTTCATTAACGTTTAGTTATAACATGCATAATGTATACAGTGCCTCACAATTTCTTATACTCTTTCCAGTGCAACAGTAGACTTTGGAGGCATATTATACATTTCAAACTTACATCTACTCATATGCTTAAGAACATAATCTGTTTTTCTAACCAAGATCAGTTTGCAAGTAGTACGTCATTGTGGTTTTTCAAAGGATCCTGTGTCTAAATGGGAAATTACAGAAAACTCAAAATAAAATGTAGCGAAGAGATTAAAATCAGATTTCAACTCAAAACTAGTAATGACTATCAGGTTCTGTTAGACCAAAAGAAACAATGAAACTGGTTTAAATTAGCTTATAAGATGCTTAAATCCTTTGATGAAATCACACCAAAGGGCTAAGTAAGCAAAACACTCACATCCTGTTGCTTTATTTTGGGAATTACAACAATTGATACATTCTGAGACATGTAGCTCATGTTTCTGGTAAATGTTACTTTATTAGGGGCATCATTTATGCATTATGATACAGTACTCTATTAAAAAGCCTTCAAGTATTCATCACGGAATGTCACACATTTAATATTCTGCATGTGTACAAGCATTACTAAGCAAGCTAGTTTTGACTTAATCACCAAACCTTGGCATGATATTGAATCAGTTACCTTAAAATAAAGTCAAAGAGGCTGTACATTGACTCAACACAACATTTACCGCAAGAAAAAAACTGGAAAATGTCAGTAAAACCACATCAAACGTATCTGAAGTCCTGCGTGGACGTAGACATGTTGTGATTTGTTCTCCCACATTAAAGTTATTAAGGACAAAGGTTCACTATTGATTCCTGAAAATGAATGTTGACATATGCTGTATGTTTGGCAGGCAGTGACAGGCCCACATCTGTGAGTGCAAATAAGCAGTACCCCGTGCATGAACCCTTACATATCCTCAAAGCTCTCCAATTGGGAGTCTTTTTTTGATAGGATGTTGTAGCTGATGTAACTTTATGTAAGCAATTGAATACACATTTAAAGAAACAGATTGCATTCCAAATTATATTTTGGAACTTGTAACATGCTGTTAATATTGAAGACATACACCATAGATATCTTTCAGAATGTTTTCCATGATAAATTGTATTGGTAGCTAACATAAGATTCGGTTATCCGATTTGATAAAAAACAAGTCCTGCTTCACAATGGATACCGGTTCAATAGGGATGCACATTTTGCTCCAGTCCACTGTGTTCAATTAAAATGGAAATGGCAAATGATGATGTAAAAGCAGAGTAAAGTTTGTATTAGGGAGTTATAAAAAGTTATATTACAGGGCTTTTTTTTTTTCACGAAACTGTGTCTCAGGGCTTCTTAACATTTATGAAACTATTAATGTTCCATACTCACTTAACGGGAAGAAACTCAGCTAACTGACGATACGAACCATTTTTACAGAAACAAATCAAATCAAATCAACTTTTATTTATAAAGCACATTTACAAGCGATTTTTGGTCGAGCCAAAGTGCTGTACATGTAATAAAAACACATTACTACAATCACAATAAAAGACAATAATTTACAACAGAAATATAAAAATCACAGGGAATAGTCAGGAGTCGTGCTCCGCTCTGACTAGAAGGCGAGGGAGAAGAAGTGAGTTTTTAGTGTTGATTTAAAAACCCCTAGGGTCTGGGCCGACCTCACATGGAGGGGCAGAGTGTTCCAGAGCCTCGGGCCAGCTGCTGCGAAGGCTCGGTGCCCTCGGGTTTTGAGCCTGGTCTTGGGCACTATCAGCAACAGCTGGTCAGCAGACCTTAAAGCTCTGGCTGGGGTGTAGCGATGGAGGAGTTCTGCTATATAGGCCGGAGCCAGCCCATTTAGTGCTTTAAAAACAAATAAAAGGAGTTTAAAATCAATTCGGAACCGAATTGGAAGCCAGTGTAGTGAGGCCAGAATTGGGGTGATGTGGTCACGCTTTTTGTGGCCAGTGCAGCTGCGTTTTGGACTAGCTGCAGGCGTTTAATTGAGGCCTGGTCCATACCCACATACAGAGCGTTGCAATAGTCCAGTCTTGAGGTAAGGGCATTAATAACCCTTTCTAAGTCATTAAAAGATAAATACGACTTGGTTTTGGCCAATAGTCTTATTTAAAAAAAGCAGGATTTGACTACGGTGCTGACCTACTTGTCGAATTTAAAAGCGCTATTGAAGGTCACTCCAAGGTTCATGACAGAGGGGAGAATGTTTTCATTGAGAGAGCCCAGAATATCAACCGGAGAGGCTGGAGGTTGGGGTCCAAAAAAGATGACCTCAGTCTTGCTCTCGTTGAGGTTAAGGACATTTTGGCTTAGCCAGGATTTTTATCTCTATCAAGCAGTCCATCAACTGCTGTAGTGAGTGTTTGACATTTGCTTTGAGAGGCAGATAGATCTGTACATCGTAGCAGTGGAAGGGAATATTGTGTTTAGTGAGAATGGAGGGGTCGAGATTTTTCTTTTTAAGTAGTGGCTGGACCACGGCATGTTTGAAGGCAGCTGGGACACATCCTGAGCTAAGAGAGGTGTTTATAAGTAATAAAATACTTGCTCCAACTGATTCGAAAACATCTCTGAGAAGGCGAGAGGGAATGCTGTCTGAGGTGCAGTTTGTCGGCCGCAGGTGCTTGACTACATCTGAGAGAGAAGAGAACTTCCCCTTCGATTCTATTGGCTCTAACGGTTCAAAAGAGGTGTCAATCACCAAAATCGACCAATGGGTTCCAGAGAAACGGCAAATCCACCCAAATCCACCCAAATGTGTTTTTTTTGTTGCTAAACCTCTCTAAAATGGTCACATGTCACTTGTTTTGCATCAATCTTGATACAGGGTACTTATTATATGTTATAGTTTGGATTCCTAAAGCTTTTAGTCTCCGATCCCATCATTCAAGGGTGGTTTTCACTATAAGTAATGTTTTTTCTTTTGGACGGACACTATAATTTACATTTTTTTTACTATGTTCAATCTGAATTTACTTTCAAATGAAACAATTCTATATTAATTCTGACTTTTCTACATCCAACTCACAGGTTTATCATTGCTTTGAGAAAAAAGATTATTAATTTATCCCTTTTAGAAGGGAAGTTATGGTAATTTGTTCTGGGAATGTCATTTTCGAGCCTGAGGCCTGAAAAACAGGCTTGGGGCTTAACAGGTTAACTGATTTGGGTATTGCAAACACACAAAGACAAATGTAAGAGAAAGAGTTAACATTTATTTAGGTTTATTGTGCTTGTATAAGCATTTTTCTCAAACATTTGAGAAACATTTTTCTCAATTTTTTTCAATTCTTGGTGACTTCAAATTATATAAAAAAAAGGTTAGAAATTCTGCCTGTTGCATGAATGCAATACATACATAAAATAATATATTATACGCAAAATAATTAGTAAAAATAAATGTAATTTATTTCATGTGACTTTAATTGGCCGTGACTTGAACAATATCTATGGAAGCAAACAAGAGATTTGATTGATTTGATTTGAATTTTATCAGACACCAAATCTATAGCATTGAATTACTTTGAAAATCATGTATCTGAATATTTTTTGCTCCGAATTGACCTATGTGAAATCAAAATCTGAAATATCTTGATACGCAATTTCAAAAGCTGAATTTCAATGTATTTGTTTCAGTGTTCACAAATT